CATTCTTTAACATGTATTAGTGAAATTTAGTCTAGTTTTTTATGTGCTAATGATATCAAATCTATTCTATTTATTGCTTTTATTGTCTATCTATTCAAAATTTATCTAACCAGAATATTTTGTCATTCTAGAAGCCAGGTTTCAAGGGTTTGGGGTGGTGGGGAAGAGGGAAGGGAGATTTCAATCCAGGTTTCTTGATTCTGTTCTGCTTCTAGGAGTTTGTAGCCTACCGCTGACCACTCTTTCTGCCTCTTAAATCCTTCATTAGTCAGTACTTAAGCAAGTTAGGAAGTATCCTCCATAACACACCTCTTCATCTTCCGTTGTTCCAAGCTGTCCTCAACCCACTCCACTACATTAGATGAAGTATTGGGTTGAGACACAGCTTATGGGGTTGCATAGAGTTGTGTTACTGGGAGAAGTCTGGGTCAACCAAGTCCCTCTGCCCCACCAAGCCCTTCAATTGGATAAATTTGTTAGCATGAGAAAGTTTCCAAGTAAAGATAAACCTTGTAGGAAAGAGTTGGAGAACTTCAAGTGGGAAAGAATCTTAGAGACTTACTGTTTCATATCCTCATTATATAGATGGGTCCCTGGCGCCCAGAACAGAATAATAGTGGTTGCTATTTCTTGGGCATCTATGTGCTTTACATACATTCTTCTTTAATCTGTACACTAGCTGGTAAGGTTGAAGTTATTTTCCTCATGTTACATATTAGAAAATTGAGTCTGAGAGAGGCTAAGTGAATTGTTCAACGGCATACAGCAAGGAAGTGGGAGAGCCAAGGTTTGATTTTAGACTCCCAAGCCTCTCTTTTCCCTTCACTTATTGCTGCTCACTGAAGATCACTTGGGAATTTAGTAGCAAAATGAAGATTGGAACCAAGAGTTTGATTCCCACTCCCATGACCTTTCCACAGTCTCATGCTTTTCGTTTATTTTAAAACCTTCCCAAGAAAGATTCCACATGTTCCCAGGTAACGTGTTTAATATCATTAAGAGGGTTCAATTTTATGTTTAACAGAGACCCCTGACCTTTTGTCTTGGTTTCTGTTCTTCTTTAATACACAATCATCCTTAGGTTTTTCTATTTCTTAATTGATAGTGGTTTATTTTTTGTTTTACTATAACTCATTCAATTTTATAAGAAAAATATCAGGAATGCAATGGAAAATTAGGCAAAGGCATAAAAGAGCAATTTCTGCAAAGGAGGGGGAAAAAAAGCATATCAACACATGAAATAAATAGATGGCCTTACTAGTGATTAAATGAATACAAATAACTGTTAAATTAGTCTATTTTCCCTTAATCTAATGATTCTTGGTGTTTGTGAGGTTGTGGTAAAATAATTCTCTGCTGATGGCAGTGTCAGTTGGGGAAATCTTTGCAAAGCATTGTGGCATACATATCAGGAGCCCTAAAAATGGTCACAACCTTCAACCCTATACTTTGGTTCCTGGAAATTATACAAAGAAACAGTTGAACAGGGAAAAGAAAGTCTATATGCGTAAAAGTGTTCATTGTAGTGTTGTCTATGATTTCTTTTTAAATACAAAATAAAAATAAGAGAAACCACCTAAATATTCAACACTAGCAAACCAATTGAACAAACGTTGGCATACTGACTCAGCATGCGGTACTACATAACAATTTCAAACAATTCACAGGAGTGTGTGGTAATATGGAAATGTTTATGCTATGACATGAGCTGAGAGAAAGATGACATATTATGATTCACCTGTGAAATGTATTATGCATATCAACAAAATTAAAAGGTAGGATATAAAAATAAAATGCTCTTCCAGTTTAGGGCTGTGGATAATTTTTTTTTTTCTTTTTTAAAGTTGTCTTTAATGTTGATGTTTATTGCCTCTATTGTTTAAAAGAATGAAGTATGACAAATGGTACAGGGAGTCTAAGCTCTAGATGGAGAGGTAAAGGACCTGAGTTTTCTCCTTTTTTCTCCCATGTAAGATGCCTTATTGGCCTTCATAAACCTTAATTTCTCAACCTGCGCAATGGGTGAATACTAACTTTCTTTATCCCAAATTGACAGAATGTTTATTTTATAAAGCTTTTAACACACTGAATGTAAGGGTTCATATAAATTTGGTCCTGGGAAGATGAGAGGTGGGAGGGGGAGGAAAAGATAGGCACTAATTAAGTTTAAAAGGAAAGACCATCTGCTTTCATCAGAAATGCACGTGTGCTGTGCCCCTCGTCAGTTTTAAGAGCACTCCTTGTTTGTTCGCAACTTCAATTTAAAAGACTGTGATCCTTTGGGCTTTAAAGATAGGAAGCCTATGTACATACACATGAGCTAAAATCCCCGCGTCCTCACCAGGCCTGTGCACTCCGAGTGAGTAAAAGCACTAAGCAGCTTTAGCTGATGGACTGATGATGTGTAAGAGTAGAGCAAACACCACGTGACGAGAAAGTACAAGACATTTTGAAACGATGGTTTAATTTCCAAGCTTTCTTTGTAACGTGGGCTTTCTCTTTTAGCCATTACAGACGAGTAAGAGATTTGATTATCTTGTTTCCCGTGAAAGGTTATTTAGCTCCTCAATCCCATTAAGTCACTTTCTGCACTCCAGTGCACTGTGCCTTCCCGGGTTCACAGCCCAGGAAGAGTAAATGGAGACACCAGGATCGAATTTCTAAAGGAAGGGAAGTTAAAGCAAAGTTTGAAAGGGGTGACAGCCAACAGCCAGGAGCTTAGGAACTCAATTAGACTGAAAGACAACTATCTCATTATCTCCTTCCGAAATGATCTAAATACATAAAAATCTAAAAGTTTTAAATAAACTTGTCCTACTGACTGTCTAGATGACTGAATTTGCCTTCTCAAAATATGTTTAAACACCCACTTTCGTATTTATTTATTCTAAGCGTGAAGCAGCTGCGATAATTATGCTGTCAGGTTCAGTAAGCTAATGAGGAGTCAGTGAATGGAAGGGTTTGCATTTGTGAGATTGCTGCAGGATAACTGCTCTGAAGCCTTTTTCCTTCCTTCTTTTTCTCTCTTCTGTCTTTCTTCCCCCCACCCCCCATGAATTGGGAAGGAGAGTCGAGCAGTCCATGGCCAAATTGGAATCCCTTTGATTAACTGGCTGCTTTCCCAGCACTGTTTTGTCAGATAATGTTTCTCTCTCTCTCTCTCTCTCTCTCCTCTCTCTCTCTCTCTCTCTCTCTCTCCCCCTCCCTCCCTCCCTCCCTCCCTTCCTCCCTCCCTCCCTCTCCCTCTCCCTTGTTTTTTCTATCTCTCAACCCCTCAACCCCTTTTTTCCCCTTTCTTTCCCCTCCTCCCTCCTCCCTCTCTCCTTGCTTTTGAGGAGCTGCTGCTTTGGAGAGGCAAGGAAGCCTGAGGGACATCTTCGTGCCACTGTCCCAAAGGCAAGAGCACACGCCTCCCCGAGGGAAGTTCCCAAGACAGTTTAGACTTGAGTTGATTTGAGAGTAATCTATAAAGTTTCTGTTTATTTTAACTGTTTGACTGTTTATGCTATGGCACGAACTAAAAAGAAAGTAGAATATAAAATTGCATAACATGACGTAACTCTGAAAATGTATTATGCGTATCAACAAAACTTGACGTGTCCCCTCTCCAGCCTAGAAAATATGTACTTCTAAACCCAAGGAGTCAGGGCCACAGATTATTCAAAGCGTAAGTCTAGGCCGAGCAAGGCAGAACCCACATTGCCGTTTTATTTCTTCCCTTCAGGTGTGAACAGCTTCCAGCAAACAATAGTATTAAGGCATTTTAGGCTCTTGGTGAGCCAAATCTAGAAGCTTCTCCTTTTGTAAATTTTGTGATATTTAGAGCCACCCAGGCTTGCGCTGACTGTGAGCCCGGCAAAGCAATGCCCAGTGGAAAGATGTCCTGAACAGGGGTTGTGGATGTGCTGTGACAATGTGGCTGGTGCCTCTTGCTGTTTTTCCCAGATATCTATACTAATGCTTGTAACAAAGTACTTGTTTAAAATATATTGTGTATCAGGAACCACCCGAGAATTCTTGTATATATCTTCTTCAAATGTAGAACAATCTGCCAGAAAGTTTTATTATCCCCATTTTGCAGATGAGCCCCTTTAAAGGTTAACTTTTGGAGATCTTGGCCCATAGCTTGAGCATAGGGTGCACCCAGGAACAACACACTTAACAAACACAGGCATTTATAAAAGTAGAAACTGCCAGCCCTCTGAACTAACCAAATACAGGAATCAGATGACAAATGTAATATCTATATATTTCAAAAAAGGTTTTTTAATTTACAGAAGCTGCACTTAGAGTCTGTTTAAATAGATTCCCTAATGCAGCTAAAGTAACAGGGTTTGAAACCTTCCAAAACATATCTAGCCCAGCAGGACGCCCATTACCTGTCACTGCTGGAACAGATGTTCAGACTCCTTAGCTTGATAACTCCATTCAGCATCTCGTTCTAACCTATTTTTCCAAATTCACCTTTTAGCTTGCCTTGCTCTAATCATGCACGATTGCTTGCATTCTCTCAAATACTTGCCTTCCTTCGTGCCTTTCCTCATGCTGACTCTTCAGCCAGGAATGTTCTCCCTAGAAGTCCTTGACTATTGACATAGACATCCTTCAAGGCCCAAAGGGCTCCTGTCCATGCTTCTCCCATGCTCCTTAGTGGACTTAGAAGAGGGGTTGTCCTGGTTCTTTGTTTGCACCTCACTTTAGGCCCTTGCCCGTTAGTTTGTGTAAGTCTCCCTGTTCTATTCCTATTTTTACCATCTTCAACACCTGTGCCATACCCAAGTGCTGGTAAATATACATTGCATTGGATTGAATAGGAGCCGCTGGACAAATGTTCGTAGATTCCGTAAAATAAGTTATCCATGAGTCAGTATAAATTATTAGTAAGTCTGGCTCATGTTTTGACATCTCTTCAGGTGACAAATATTACAAAAACATAAAAAGTACACTGTGAAATCCCAGGAAATAACATGTTGGTGCTTTTTCTCTTTTTTTCCATACAGAGGAGTCTTTGTTTACAGTTTCAGGAGTAAGGCTGAAGCCAGAAATGTATGACCTTTTGGCTTCCTACCGCAAAGGTCACCACTCAGCCCAGTTTAGCAAATGCTGGTGAAAAGAAAGGGGGACATCACCAAGAGCCTTCCAGGTAATGGCCCCAACAGAGAGGCTCCTATGACAACTGAAAAGTGATCGCTGCCAGGAGAGGGCGGGGCTTGCAGATGCCGAGCACCTCTGCTCTGTCCGGCTCTTCGTCCCCCCTGCAGGGACAGGTGGCCCAGACTCTTCAGGCTGTGACAAGAGGGTGGTAATGTACATCACCTGTCTCTCCCACTCCCAGAGCAGTGGTAGGCTCCCAAGACAAAACTGAAAGGTCAGGCCTCCAGCTGACACGGGGAACGAAGGATTTCCACTCTTACGTTGTATTTCCTTAACTACGAAGTTTCCCCCATCAGCCGATAGGACAAAATCAGAGGTGTGAGACTGAGGGGTGTCTTGGGAATGTGAGATGTTCGGTGCTCAGACGAGTGCAGTTCCAGGTAAACCAGGGGCTTGGTCACTGTGGTGGTGCAAATTCCCACTGGCCTGCCTCCAAGTGCCAGGGAAGACCTGGTTCAGAGTCTGGCCCTGCCCAGGAGATGGCTTTAGAGGCCTATGAGAATCAAGTCACCACTACTACAGGCTTCTTAGACTAAACCACCTGCGTAGTTGGTTATAGGGAGTCCTCTCATTCAGGGTGAGTTCTGGGAACCAAAAGGGCCTGATGGACGGGCAGGAGCTACCCACAAATGTCACAGACACAGCTGTTCTCAGGAGTTTCCTCAACCAAGCTAGTATAACCCAGCCTTCCAAAGTAATCTCGAGGAGACAGAGGTGCTGTGAGGGATTTCCCCAAAGCTACCCTAAAGGCAGTTCTGCTGGAAGGCACAGGGAGCCAGGTGGGACAGCTCCAAAAACACCATAGTACAGACGTCCCTGGACACGAAGAGAGCACGTCCCACACTGGGCCGTCCATGGTGGGCAGAGGGGAAGTGATCTAAATAGAGGAATCAAAGTGGGACCCATGCACAGCGCCGGCCAGCCATCCTTTTGGACGACCCTGGCTGTAGTCCAAGCCACAAACATTAGACTATGATTTGGCCACCACAGCTCGGCAGTGCTTCCTAACAGAACTTTTGGGGTCTAGATGGTCACCACTGGCATACTCCCTACACCCCTCCCACACCCCAGTGTTGTTGACAAAGCAGGATTCGGCTCTTCGCCACTTAGTCTTGGCTTTCTCTTTGACTGTTGATATTTAAAGATATGTACACATCAAGGAGTCTCCCTTATGGATCTTCTAAGATCATTGTATTTAGAAGTTTGGAAAGATCAAGGATGTTTCGAATTATAGCTATTCCTCAGACATTTTCTGAAATGCCTAAATTTGTATTTTGACAATATACAATTGGAATTACAACAGGCAATACAATAATATAAAATTTCCCATGCAAAATATTTTCTAGAACAGAGATTTGACTGTGTAAGTGCCCTTTGAAGCCCACTAATTATGAAAATAGAATTACTTTAACTACATTCTATAAAGTGAAGGATTTGTGCTTCATAAAACTATCAAAGACATTGACGGAAATGGTTTCAGATGGTGGTGCTACAGTAAGCATTATTATCATTTCTATTGTTATTTTGTTTTATTTAGCAACCAGACCCTGCCTCTCTGATCAATAGTGACTTTTCACAAAGAATTGTTACCTGTAGATGTGAATCCGTCACAATGGAAAAGCAATTAAAAGCAGTCAGTGTATCAAACTGGTGCCTGTGCAGACCATTGAAGTGGAGGGGAGGAGGCAGGTTTGGCCTGGAGTAATCTCCCGGTGTCCCTAGGCCGTTGGTACTAATGTAAGGAGATAAAACCCGTAGGAGATGAACCACAAAAGGGAAAAGCTAGAGCAATTAAACTGTTTAATAAATGGCTCGGTATCAGCAAAATCTGGAAGTGCTGGAGTTAAAGAGACTAAAAGTGATAATCAACGGACACTTGGGGCCTGTAAATCTTTTCCATTAAATTGAATTTATGTTAAAATATTCACTTTTCAGGAGATTCAATATGTAAATTGGGGTATTAGGACTTATAACAGCAAGCAGTGCCTCAAAATTAAGACTCTTAAAAGATCCTCAAAATGTCCGTTTCAGGTATGGTAAAAAATGTAGACCGGTGTCTGCAGTGGAGAAAGAGGGGCGCTAAAGGTACTGGGGTACGCCATGGGCCAAGCACTTCACACAACTGTTTCAAAGCTTGGTGTGTTTTGCACAGTGAGGTGTGATGTGGCACAACTGTAGTCTGTAGATCCAAAGATAGATTTTGGTTATTTTAAAAGTTTACTTAGTTCTTATTATCAGGGGTAAAATGCTGCCTCTGTTATAATTTATTACTACCTTTTCTATCAATAGATAGAATTCCATCCGTAACTTTGCAATAATGTTGAACAGGCTTTTTTAACTCAATCTCTACAATGTCATTTATTATTTTGATTTTGTTTATTCTCCATTTATGCCTAGGGCTACATTACTGCTGCGTCCACTTTAATTTGCTTCAGCTTCCTGAGAAGCTCCAGATATAACCACGCCGGACCAGGGGTTTTAACTATCACCTGTGACCTGAAATATTTTCAATATTTTAAATATTAGGTCCAAGGCAACAGTACATAATACTTGAAGAAAAGGCAATGGATGGCTATTGCTATTGTCATTTTCTTAGAATTTCACAGTGAAGGCTCAAAAAGTAGACACAGACTGAAACAGTCTGAGAAGAGGACTTCTGAATAATTCCACTCATCCCGTCATTTGATAGAGAGATCCCTGAGCAGAAAGGACAACGGGACAGAGAGGGGACTGACAATGGAAAGAATTCGGAGGCAGAGTTTGTGCCTGTCACTCCTGTGTTCACTTACAATTTCTCCCAACAAAAGGACTTCTGTGGCAAGGAGCGGATTAGTCTAAAGTTTAAAACAGTCTCCAGAGAAGATGGTCTCTTGGATAAAGTTGTTAACAAAAGGACTTGTTTAAGACTCTTTGTTAGGATTTCCTTGGGGGCACTTCTTCCTTCCCTAACTGTGCTATCAAAACACACTACCGCCCCACCCCAGCTAGATTTTAGAAGTTCGGATTGAGCCGCTGATTAGAATTAAATTTCAGGCTATCTCCTTCTACTGAATCCTAATTGTCTGTGATGATTGCAAAAGTGATGAGGAATCTAAGCTCCGATTTGATGGTGGAGATACTGATAGATAGATAGGTGCAAAGAGTCCCAGAGATGTAATTCAAGCCCTGTTGTACCATCAGACAGACACACATGCATTTGCGCCTACATAACCCTCAAATAAAATGAGAGATTTGTCTCGGTTCACACGTGTCGTTTTCTATAATGACTCCTGAAAGAAGCCAGGGAAACTCAGGTTACTTCGTCAAAGGATCACCTACTCAGGAAATGTAGTCGCCTGGAAACCAGAGACCTTTATATATCTTTCCAAGGAGGAACTAATTAAGAGAGAATTAAAAAATAGTATCTATCTACCCCAAATCTGAGATGGAAGAAAGGAAAAGGTATACAAATAGCCTGAAGAAATCTACCTTAGTGAGTATTTGATTTTGGTAAGGCACTGGACAAAGCCGGTCCAGACATACCTGAAACACAAAACTGTGTGGACTGGATGATGGGGCAGATATATGAATCCAAAGAACAGTAGTTGTTCAACCTAGAGAAAGGCCGATAGTGGTGTGGTACAAGGTTCAGTCTTCAGTCCCATTCTGGTCAAATATTTTTATTAATCACTTGGATAAAATCAGAGAAGGTACACAATTTATTCATACAACTCACTGAAATAAGTACTGTTCTTATTAATTCATTCCTTCCATTTTACAAAGGAGGAAACTGAAGGTCAGAGAAGTTCAATAACTCCTCCATGGCAGTGTGCCAGAGTTAAGGTACAAACCCAAGGGCTGGCTATCTCCAGCACCTAAGTTCTTTCCAGTAATCACGTGCTTATCGAATCTGTAGAATATATAACTCTTGACAAGGAGCTGATATTTAGTATTGGATCATGATTCAAATGACTGAGACCTTGCTAAAAGCTCATGTGTGCAGCACACCGGTTGGAATGGCCAATTTCAGAACACGGGCACCAAATGCTGGGGAGGGTGTGCAGCCGCAGGAACTCTCGCTCATCACTGGCGGGAATACAAAATGGTACAGCCCCTGGGGAGACAGTTTGGAGGTTTCTTACAAAACTAAACATATGATCCAACAATGGCAGTCCTTGATACTTACTGAAAGGAATTGAAAATTTATGTCCACAGAAAAACCTACACACAGATGTTTATAGCAGTTTTATTTATAATAGCCCAAACTTAGAAACAATCAAGATGTCCTTCAGTAGATGAATGGATAAGTAAATTGTGGTGCATCCAGACAATGGAATATTATTTAGTGCTAAAAAGATATAAGCTTTCGCCCGGCTGGTGTGGCTCAGTGGACTGAGCATCGCCCCATGGACTGTGAGGTCCCAGTTCAATTCCCAGTCAGGGCACGTGCCCTGGTTGTGGGCTCAATCACCAGTAAGGGGTGTGTTTTTTTCTCACATCGATGTTTCTATCTCTCCTTTCCTCCCTCTAAATAATCAATAAAAAAATATTTTTTTAAAAAGAAATAGCTTTCAAGCCATGAAAAGACATGAAAGAAACTTAAATGCATATATTATTAAGTGAAAGGAGCCCATCTGAAAAGGCTACATACTATACATTATTACAACTATATGACATTCTGCAAAAGGCAAAACTATGGAGACAGTAAAAAGGTCAGTAGTTGCCAGGGTTTAGGAAGGAGGGAATGTTGACTAGACAGAGCACAGAGGATTTTTAGGGCAGTGAAACTGTATGATACTACAATGGCAGATACATGTCATCATCAATTTGTCCAAATCCATAGACTATACAATCCCAAGAATGAACCCTGATATAAACTATAGACTTTGGATGATGATGATGTGTCAATGTAGGTTCATCAATGGTAACATGTACCACTCTGGTGAGGGTGTTGATAATGGGGGAGGCTATGCATGTGTGGGGTAGGGTGTATGGGAAATCTCTGTAACTTCTGCCGTATATTTCTCTCAACCTAAAATTTCTCTAAAAAATAAAGTCTTAAAAACAAATAAACAAACAAAAAGCAAATAACTAATTTGCAGCAAGCCAATACAACCTTTATTCCAATAAAATTTTATCTGATTTAAGTTCTTACACTTAAGACTTAAAATGTCAACAAGTTAAGTAAGGCTGTGATTTAGTGGAAATTGGTACTTTTAAGTACAATGAATTAATAGTATGTCTGACTGTCCACAAAAGATAATGCTAACACATTTAAGTGATTTAAATGATGGAATAAGATGGTGTCCCAAAGAGGGGAAGTAGTTTACCCTCTACTGACAAGATCACACCCAAATGATTAAGTTTAACTCTATCCATCCACACTTTAAAAGAAACACCATATTGGCGTAAATATTTCTTGTGCATTTATCAGTTTACAGATCTAATTCTGTTTCGTTCTCCTAAGACTATGAGGTGGGTGTAGCTATTCCTCACTTCACAGAGAAGAACACAGAGTCAAATGTAAATGGCTGGAATTTGACACTCAGGCTCTCTGCCCCCAAAGTCTGTGTTTTTTGCACCCCTTGCCCCAACTCTGTGCTGCATGCTCCAAGAAGGGCTACTAGGAGAACAGAGGGCATGGGGACCAACACACAAGGAAGAACCAATCGAGAAAACCCAGGGGCAGAGAACTTCCTTCCAGAACATGAGGTTCTCACAGAGCAAAGTGGTTGGCCCTCTGCTGGGTGGCTGCAGAGCCAGGACAAATACATAGAAAGCTTACAGATACCACTCTTTTTTTTTTTTTTTTTCTGCTATTTATCTTCAGATAGAGTGGGAGGGAGGTAGAGAGAGAGAAACATCAACATGAGAGGGACACATCGACTGGTTGCCTCCCGCATGACCTCGACCAGAGGCGGAGACAGACTGCAATCAAGGGACATGCGCTTGACCAGAATCCAACCTGTGACCATCAACCCGTTAGGGCTGATGCTCTAACCACTGAGTCAAACCGGCCAGGGCAGAGATACCACTTTTGATACAGCAAGAAGTGTTCTGGAACAATTTCAACTGTCTACCAATGGGATGAGTCCCTCAACACTAGTGGATGTCCTCAGCACCCACAAGATACGGAAAGCTGTAGGAAGGATCCTCACTTTGGAGGTTAGATTAGCTGATCTCTAAGGTCCCCTCTAATTCCAATATTGTCTAATAATGATTTTTGAACAGCTGTTGACAGACTGTACTTAGAATTATAGTGAAATCCTATTGTTGCAGGAATGAGTAGATTTGTGTTATTGTGAAAAGGGGATTTTTTTAAGAGTAGAAATCATCAAAATTATTCTCTTTAATTATAATAGAAGATAAATTATGCTTATACTTCTTTCTTTGTCTTTAATTAATACATTTACTTATTTAAAAGCTTAATAAAAATTAGGTATAAAACACCAAAACATCATTTCCATCTTCCTTCCTTGATTTTGTGGAAGGAGCATCCTAGTGTTTGTGCATGTGTTTTCCTCCCATGTTTCTGCTGATTTCTTTGTACGACATACACCTCACTTTTTAAAACATAACTTGATGTTGTTCAATTTGATATGTTAGTTATGTTAGTGATGCTTACTTATTCAGTCACTAGTGCTACTCGCCTAATACTTGTCTCCAGAGCTCCGTTTAGATGGCCCTTCCTGGCCCTCTGGTGGGTGGGCAGGGCCACATGATTGGTGCCGGTCAGTGAATTGTGAATGGAGGTGACATGTGTCATTTCTAGGCCAAGCATCCATTTGATTGCCAGACCCTCCAGATCATTTTACTTTTCCCTCTGTTACAGTGACCACGAGCATTCAAGAAGGTTGAAGAATGAAGAGACCTAAACAGAGTCCCCAGAGGACGTATGATGGATGTGTAGTGAGAGAGAGCAATGAAACTTTACTGTTTTAAGCCACTACTATTTGGGGGTTGTTACTGCAGTATAACCTAGCCTATCCTGACTAGCACCAGGGCGAGTAAAACAGATACCTGTGCTGTCCAACATGGCATTTAATTAAGTTAAACATTCAGTTCCTCAGTTCCACTAACACATTTCAAGGGCTCACTAACCACATGTGACTAAAGGCTACCATACTGCACGATGCAGATACACGTTTTCATCATGGGAGGAAGTTCTGTTGAACAGTCAGACGAGTGCTAGGATTTTTATGAGAGTTGGTAATGATATCTTTTAACATTTCTTGGTATTTTAAGTGTGCATCTAATACCACCTTGGCATTATTCTTGAAAAGTTTCACCTTTTTAAAATAAAATCTCTGGGAGCATCCAGTGGAGGTTACCTTCTGTAAGAAAAGTCACTCTGAGCGGTTACTTTTCTTAGAACCAAAGGTCTTCCTGAAGGTTACATGGACACAGAGGATTAACACCTTTTTGTTACTCTTGACACCTTTGTAAATGGACTCCCAGAGTGGTTTTAT